AACATTTGCGTCAGGCCCTCATGCTGGGCATGCAGAAGAAGGGAGATGCAGTATGCTTCACAGGTTCCGGAAACGAGGGCAAAAGCTTCATTTTGAAGCCATTGCGTGAAATTTTCCAGCGCGTGCCTTGGCTACCACTTTCACATCACATGGTTTCTGACCCTCACCGTTTCCCAATGATCATATTTTTTAAAAAGATCCACTTGCGGACAAGTTTCTGCCCCCCGGGGGGACTCAAGTACTATGCACATATTTGTTTATGCCCGAGACGAGTCCAGTAACTGGGAATTGATTCTTGTAACGGGATTTTCACGCCTTGGTACCATCGAGATCTATCAACCTGTAACTATGGGGACCAACAATACCCAACTCTTGCCATGCATTCTTAACATGGTAGACCTTATTTCCTTGTTTGTGGCCTCTCCTTTTTGGACGGCCAGACGTTGATGTGCCCTCCTCAGAGCAGCCGAGGTGTTCGCCTGTCCAGCTCGAGGGTCGTATCCTCTCTTAGATTTGCCGCAGTCCCAAGTGGTCATTTTAGATGATTGGAGACCTGACCATGGAGCCTTGGATGTCAGCAGTACCTTATTATGGTTGGAAAGTGCGACGCTACGCATCAATCGGCCATTGAACTTGTACAGTGGCCATTTGGATTTTCGACCGACACAACCGACTTTTCTCACATGTAACTGGCAATCGTTGTTTGTGCCGAAAGGGTGCTGGTCCGAGAGTGAGTTGCTGATGCTCCGGTCCAGACTGACCATTTACCGTTTCCAGCATAGAATCGAAAATTTGAAGGACATCCCGGCATGTCCATGTTGCTTCACCATGTTCATACTCTCTGGAGGGAAAAATGTAGCAAAATTTCTTGCTGCAGGATTCCCGAGTGTCTAGCTGTGTGCTGACTGCACCTAATTAAATGTTAAAGGAGCCGCTGTCACTGGTCCATCCGTTTTGCATGTTTCTCCCGACATCATAGAAAGTACCCAGCCCCATATAAAAACCCCTCGCCCCGAAATCAAAGTTGATTGTTTCATTGGACCTGGATCCGCGGCAGTGACGCTGTACTATATTTGGATGCCAGCAAGTCTCCAGTTTGCGAAAAACAACATTGATTTAGAGGGGCATGGGGGAGGATGATGGTATGACTTCTTTCCCTCTGCCTCTGATTGCATTTCATTGCCTTCGTTTCTGCCGGTGCTTTCTGCATATATCTCTCCGCCTTGTTGCTTCCATTTCTGCAGCTCAGGTTTGTGGCCCATCGCAGACACTCGTGGGGGACAGAAAAAGGGCCTGATTCGGCAGCATGAGCCAGTGTCGTACTTGTGGCCCCTCCTTGTGTGTGTGTGTGTCTCTGTCTCTACATCACTGTAGTTGCAGCCAGGGGTGCCACCGATTTCCGATTCATTTGCAGTCACTAGAGTTCATTCCTCAAGTGTTTTTGTTTCCAACAATTCCTCTTATGTCATAGCCATGGTTGGCAGGGTTGGCATGCTATTGAGCGTTTGGTGTGCTGGGCCCACTGTTGTCATGTTTCAAAATGCAGCTCTGCTCTGGCTGTATGAATCAGAATGGTTCAAAGCAGCAGGGTTGTAGACGACGGCGTACCTATTGTTCTCAAAGCAGGTTCAAAAATAGATAGCAACAGGAGACAAGCCATGTAAACTCATGCTACAATACATATCATATAGGTATAGCAAAACCTTCAGCCAGACAGTTTCAGTAGATCCTTTACTCATGTCAGTAGCCGCCGAAGCCGTGGCCTTCTTGGCAGAGAAGAAGGTGACAGAACTCCGAGCAGCCCTTCTGCTGAACCAAAAGCACATACGAAATTGCCAGCAGCAATCTCGCAGAGAAGCTGCTTCGCTGCTCAAAGGCGGCCTTTCTTGCCACTCTGAGCGAAAAGTTTTGGCCGTCTATGCTTTGTCAAACTGGGATTTGAGTTTGGCTCTGCGAGCGGCACAGCGGCTGTCCCGATTGCCCCAATGTTCTGCAGCATTTCCAACATCAGATTTTGTCAGGGCTCTCTTTCGTAACCACAAGTGGGAGGACTTTTTGATGTTACATGATGAAGGCTCAGGACTTTGGGGACCTGCCCGAAAGTTTGCACGGCAGTTCCTCCTGGAACACGATGCTGGTGTTGGGTGAAGCGTCAAAACTTTTCTCAAGGCGTGGCACCATCAGCGGCAGATGTGTTTCATTACTATGAGAACAAGGCGCTTCAGGTGGAACCTTGTGGACAGCCTCGCCGCAGGACTGTTAACAAATGGGCTGCTCGTTGGCGGGCTCGGTGGGGTGTTCGCAGGGCATGCCTGCGGTCAGCTGACACAGTGGATCCCAGCATTTTGCGGGACAAGGCAAGAATGGGCAAAAAAGCCGGGTCGCTTTTTTGGAACCCTTTTTTGGTTGAAAATGAAAGCATCCCTGGTTTCTGGGGCCGCTTTTTGGGACACAAATGGGTCGCTTTTCTAGGGCCCCAAAACATTGTCCTTGAGCCATTTTTTAAAGTCTTGTTTGCCGCTTTTTTGAGACCCGAATCTTCGTTTTGCCAGGTGAAGGCGTTCTGGAGATCCATTGCCTATGTGACAGAGAAATTTGGCCACCAGGAACTGGTTTGGATCAACTTCGATGAAACTTCTGTTCCTTGCTGTCCACCATGTCCGAAAGGTTGCGTGGTGAATGACTGGAAGTCTTACCCCGTGCCAGGGGGCCCACAAATGCCGGTCCCCAAAAGTCGGCGGAGGATCGCCTACACATACGGGGCCTTGCTTTGCAGTCATCCGGGCATTCAAGCGGTGCTGCCGCACTTCCTGGTTTGCAGCGAGAAGAGGCTTCCCCAGACTGTCGCCAAAGGTTTTGCAGCGCTGCCACCGACGAGGTTGCGGCTTCTTCGCAGAAAATCTTCTTGGGTGACAACAGATTGCATGATCCGAATTTTGGCAGATGTGAGAGAGGCGCTCCAGCCTTGGCTTCCAATGGTTAAACCAATACTCGTTTTGGACACAGCATCTCCTCATCTACCTAAAAGGTTGATGTCTTTTGCCAAAAGCAAAGGTTTTCAGCTTCTTTTTGTGCCAGCTTCCAGCACTGGCCTGCTACAGCCGCTAGACACCAGTGCTTTCAGTGCATTCAAGCATTGGATAAAAAGAAAAAAACAGCAGCTGCGGCGCACCGCCCAAGGCGGTGAACCGCAGCAGCTTGAGTTTCTGTGGCAACTGGGTCAAGCTCCTCGAGAATTTTTTGCCAGCAGACAATGGGCCCACGCTTTCGAAAGCGTTGGGTGCGGGCGAGATGTGACAAAGTTGCATTCCGCCTTGCGAAATTTCATGCAGAATCCAGTGTCCTTACCGCTTCCTGCCAAACCCACTCCGGCAGAGATGGCTCTCATTTGGCCTAAAAGGCGAAAGATGAGCTATGCGGATGCATGTTTGTTCTGATAACACCAAAGGTGTTGAAGTCCAGATCTGCTGTTGCAAAAAGGCAGATGCAACCGGAGAGCAGCAAGTGTGACACTGTATATCTAGGTAAATTATGATATTTCCTGGTTGGTGGTTGAGCCCTACCCCTCTGAAAAATATGATTTCGTCAGTTGGGATGATGATATCCCCAAGATATGGGAAAATAAAAAATGTTCCAAACCACCAATCAGATAAAATTTACCGACAAGTTATATCGAACTAGTTAATGGGGATTATAAACCAACGTTCACATAACTAGGGGGTACCACCTTGTAGATATACTATTGCTATCCCTATGGATCCAGTTGTATTCTCAGGAAGTACGACTGGGGTATGATGACTAGGGGGTGTCAGCCGTACCTTCTCAGACAGTGGCCATGGATCCATAGGGTAGTACCCCTGGTAAACTAACATAACTATGGAAAATCACCATTTTCAATGGGTAAATCCACTATAAATGGCCATTTTCAATAGCTATGTGAGTTTACCAGAGGGTATGACCTAAGTACAGCCGCCTGTTGATTGGTCACAAACCCAGAATTTGGCAACACGACGAACACAACCGTGGTTGGTTTCTCACCAGGCAGCGTCTATTGATCCGCCGCAGCGCTTCGAACATGGCCAATCTTCACCAACGTCTTGCTGCTTACCATCTGGTTATTTGTTACATAGCCATGGTATAGATGGCCCTAATCGAAATAGATGGTTTACCAAACTTAATAGCATGGTGGATCTGTCCATGGCAAACTGTGAATGTCATAACCAGGTTGGGTAGTTTAACATACCCCCATTTCTGGCATCCAGAAACAATGTCCCCGGGGTGAATGTCACTGAAAATCCCCGATTTCCCGAAGGTACACGTACAAGAAGATGTGGAAAACCCATATTAGCGGAATCATGCGGACAATGACCTACAAGTTGAGCCCTCCCCAATTATAAGTTGGTTTATATTAAAACAGATTCACAGTATAGATATATCTACCATAAACCATAGCTAAATAATATTAATACATATATATATATGTGGGTAAACTATAATATTTCACTAACCTGAATTAAGGCCCATTTGGGGATGATTTCCCTTACTAACCATGATTCCAGGGCTCGGTCGCAGTGAGGTCGTTATAATTTACCCAGATAAATGATAGAGGTGTCCTAAAATAGGGGTACCCTCAATCATCCAAGTCACCAAAGACCAGTTGAGTATTGAAAGCTAAGGTAATTTGTGACGATTGGGGATCCCCCATTGGTGGAAACTCCCATAGATCTACGAAACATTGTTAACTATAGATATATGGAGCATATGGGATAGTTCAACCACAATAACTCTAGATATATATAAATATAACATAGTTAAATAGCATAAATCATAGTTAACTATAGATACATCTGCGATAACCATGGTTATATATATATATACAACAATAGCAACCATAGATATATGATGATATATCTACCGTCTACCAAACATGTTTTTTTCTATGTTTTCTTGACCCTCCTTAAAACTGGGTCCAGCCCTCAAGCCATCTCAACGCTGCGGGCCTCCGAAGCTCGTCGGACAGCTTCGACATGCCGGGCGTGGGCATTGACCGTTGCAGTTTCGACACGTTTTTTGCGTGGCGCATTCTGTTGGCAAAAATATGGTGACTGGTGTCGATAGTTTCATTTGGCAAAGCAGCAACTTTTTCGGAAACCATTTTTTTGATACCCTCTGGTAAACTAACATAGCTATTGAAAATGGCCATTTATAGTGGATTTTCCCATTAAAAATTGTGATTTTCCATAGTTATGTTAAATTACCAGAGTGTAGAAGTTGACTTTTGGTTGATGGCTTGAAAAATGGTTTTATGTCACCAAAATTCTCTCATTCAGCTCCTCAAAAGCTGGAAGAATCGGCGCAGGGACGGAGTCGTGTTTAGCGGACCTGGGGGGGTTGCCAGTTGGCTCTGAAAGTGGTTGGTACCGGTAGGCTTAACCCAAACTTGCCGTTGTTGTGGGGAACGAGATGTTCACAACCCTGGTATTTTGGGCTGTTGTTCCAATAAAATGTTGGGGAATTTCATCCTGGGGAGCTACCCACGGGCAGGATCCAGTCCAAGTCTGCCTCCCTGGCCACAAAAAGATGATAAACAACTAGAATCTGTACAGGATGGGGTTTTGCATGTTCTCCCACATCACAATCACGCAAGTCTCCAACAGTTTTAAGCAAACTCATTACAGTTGTTGGTTCTGCATCCCAGTATATCACCATGATATATATATATATATATTAATATAATTATATATATAGACATTCCCATTAATAACACAGCCATAAAGTGGTTTCTTTGTGTGGATGGAACAGTCGTCCTACACTTGAAATCGAGAAGTGTAACAAGTTTTCTTTTGGAGTTGAGAAGAATAGCATGGCCCCTGCGCATTCACTTGTAGCAGCATGGCCTTCCTGCCAAGGATGACACGCACAGACATGTGCACTCTTTTGTTCATGGCTCAAGAAAAATAGGAGCGGTGCAGCTCACTGGCGCGGTACCTGTGCCTTCACAGGTTATGAGCCCAAAGAGGCCTTGGGGCGCACTTCGTCGCTGAGCTGCTGGCATGGATATGCGCCGACGCAGCCGAGGCAATGGTGGCCGGAGTGAGTCCGCAGATGAAAGGCTTGATCGCCTGATAGCTATGGAGAGGAGAGCAAGGTCTACACCTCCAGCAAGGGGGGAGCAGCATGAGCTGAGGCGCTTGAAGATGGTGCCTGAGGGGAGCGAGAGCTCAGCAGTCTCTGGTGATGCGGCTGCTGCGCATGGAGGTCAACGAGGTGGAGCAGATGGGACAGCTTTGGTGGATGTGCCGAGGCCAGCTCACTTGCCCCTGGACTTCGGACAGCCAGCTCGAGATCCTCAAGGTCTTCTAGCTCCTTTGGTTCGGGGCGCTCTTGGTGATGGTCGAGCTCTACAAGCTGATCAGGGTCAAGTTGGACATTCAGGTCAAGTTCAACACGGCGATCAAGGAGGTCGTGCTCAGGTGAACGATGGGTCAATGACTAGGAGGGGCACGGAGACAGTGAACCCTTTCTGGAGTTCTGATGTGAGGAGAAATGCTCTCATGTCAGGTCAAGGACGTCTAGGCTGACTCGCAACTTGCAGCCGGTGATGGATGCAGCGGGAAGCGGCCGGACTGGCCAGGACCTGGATGAAGGTGAACTTGAGAGGATCCGGCAAAGGGTCCTGCGTGAAGCGGAGGAGAACTTCAAGCTGGAGATCAGGAAGCTTCGTGGTGAGGTGGGGACAGACTCCAGGTCTTACCATTCGGCTTCATCTGGTGGTGACCAGGGAGCTCCTTCGGCAGCGCAAGGTGATAGAGCAGCTTCTGGAGCTACTACAACTCCACTTCGGGGGATTGGCATGGCTTGGCAGCGATGTCAACTCCTGGACAAGGAGATCGCGGTGGTGCTGTGGTCAATGGAACGCCAGTGGCAGGTGTTCCTTCTCCGCCTGGTTTGGATCAACGAGGTGGTCTTCCTGGTGCTGGAGCTCAAGGTGGTTTTGGGGAGTCGCTGAAGAGCCAGGAGCTCCCAGCCATGCCGGCTCCGGGTGTGGAAGGGGCTTCATTAGCCTTTGGAGACTGGCTTGCACTGGCTAGTCCACAAATGTCAGACATTGGAGCGGTATCCCGGGATTGGTGGATCTATGTCTTACAGCAGGTGGAGGAGCACTATGAAAGATGGTTGGTGGCTGGTCATGTGGATCGCCTTCGCCTACGTCCTGGTGATGCTCAACTTCCTGTCAGAATTTCAACGGGTTGAACAACGTGGGGTGTCAATGCTTCTGGCAGCTTCTCCGGAGATGATCAAGCGAGACTTGGTGGCTTCCAGAACTTTGACATCAACTGGAATCCTTTTTCGGATGTTCACGGTGTATCAGCCTGGTGGTGGAGTGGAAAAGGCAGCACTTCTCAAGCAGGTGACCGAGCCAAAGATCGGGTCGTCAGTGGTGGACCTTCTTGGAGGACTTAGTCAGTGGAGGAGGCTGTTGGGTCGGGCTGCAGAGCTACGTTTGGCTCTTCCTGATCCTGTGGTGCTTTCGTCGGTGCTGGGTCGCATGGCGGACGCTTTGGCCAAGGTTGGTGGTCTTCAGGTGGGCTATCGCATCTCAGCGGTGAGGCAGGAGCTCATGGTGGACACCCGGCCGACTATGGAAGCGGTGAGGGACTATGCTGAGGTCCTGCAGGCAGAAGCTGAGGAGTTGGCGCTGGTGACGAACTCAAAGATGTTCTCTACGGCATCAACGGCTGCTCCGGTTTTGAAGGCTCTTCAAGTGGCCGGTCAGGATGGTTCTTCAACTTTGCCGGCATCAACCAGCACAAAGGGTCCATGTAGATACTGGAAAACCGATGAGGGTTGCAAACGGGGTGCGGCTTGCACCTTTCAGCATGACATGGAAGGAATGCGTGGCCGGTGTTGGTCATGTGGGGGCTCAAATCACCTCAAAAAGGATTGTCCTCACAAAACAGCTTTGGGTGGCATCAACGGCGTCGACACCAAAACGCCGAGAAGGGTCAGTAAGATCAAGGAAAGGATGACTCCGGAGAAGGGTAGTCCTGGTGCAGCTCAAGGGGAGAAGGTCGCCAAGGTGGTTGCACAGGATGAGGTCAAAGGGGCATCAACGGATGGGGTTGCAGCTGAAAAAGAGCCTGTGAAGGCTCCGGTGTCTGTTGCTCCTGCTCAAGTTCAAGAAGCTCCCAAGGAGACGGCGGCAGATCTGATGAAGGAGGCTGCAAGCCTTCTCAAGTCTTTGAGGAGCGTCAAATCGATTAAGCTGAAGCAGGTGATCTTGGACGAGAGCTCTGGTGTGGGCCAATGGGCACTACTGGATGGTGGTGCTACTCACGCACTTCGGCGAGCTCGGGTGGATGAGCTTGAGGGCCTTGTGGCAGTCGAGGTGGAGCTTGCCAGTGGTTCTACAACTTTGTATCGCTCCAAGGATCATCAAACTTTGTTGTCTTTGCATGAGGTGGAACCAATTCTTCCTCTTCACTTGCTGGTGTCAAAGGGCTACAGGGTGGTGTGGAAAACGGAAGGCTGTCGCATCTCCCATCCAACGTATGGCCAGGTGAATTGCTCCATGAGACACGGGTGTCCAGTTATGCCGAGAGCGGAAGCACTGGAAATGTTGCATCGCTTTGAGACGGAGGAGAAGCTGGGCTTGTACCTCAAGGAGACGGAGCGCATCTGGTGGAAGGAGCACTTTCCGGAAGTCCCAGAAGAGGTGCTTCGACACATGGTGGGTCAGGGGGAGGATCCAATGGTGTGGACATGCCCTTGGAATAGAAGGCAGCGTCGGGGACATCGTCGAGTGTGGGCTTACTTGTGGAAGCTTGCAGAGGGTGGCTTCATCAAGGCAGTGATCGGTGGCCCACCTTGCAGGACCACAAGCCGATTGAGAAATCGTGGACCTCCGGGACCCAGGCGTCTCCGTGGAAGAGATGATGAGCGGTGGCACCTGGATCACCTGGATCCCTTCGAGTTGGAACTTGTCAACAGTGACAGCGCGCTGATGTTGAAGCACATGGCGCTGTGGGTGAAGTCAAATGAATGCCGGACTCTGCCAATGGAGCCAACTGGTTTTTTCATGGAGTCCCCTGAGGATCCCAAGGACTACTTGGAGGATGAGGAGGAAGCCAAGATTTGTCCGAGCTTCTTCAACTTCAAGGAGGTCCAGCAGTTCGTCGGGAAGGAGGGCCTGATCTACTTTGCCTTCGACCAAGGTCAAACCGGGCATCGCAGGAGGAAGCCAACTGGCATTGTCACCAACTTGCCGGAGATGTCTCAACTGGCAGGACTTAGAGGTGGAGGTGTCACAACTGCGATTCATGGTGGGCTCGGTGAAAGGATTTTGGCATCAAAGTCATGGGCGGAATGGAGTCCAGGTTTGGTGGCTGCGGTCAAGGAGTCCCTCAAGATGTATCTGGACATGTTGGATGCCCATGGAGCTGAAGTTCGATCAGATCCACAACTTCGAAAATTGGATATGGCATCA